GAAGAAGAAGAAGAAGAAGAAGAAGAAGAAGAAGAGGAAGAGGAAGAAGAAGAAGAAGAGGGAGGAGGAGAGAAGAAAATAAGAAAAAAACAAGAAATTATGAAGAATGAGAAGAAAGCGATGACAATCATGATAACGAATATGAAGATAATAAAGAAGAGGAAAAGGAGAAGTGGAAGCGGAAGAAGGAATAAGAGGAAGAACTTCTGACATTACACTTGTCAAGAAATAGTTCATCTTGCAGAGACATTAGTCTTGATTGGAACTCAAGTTAATGTCTATCGTATTTGGTTGTACATTGTACACCCTTGAAACAACCCTTCACTGATGTAGTCTCTTATCAAAATGGAAATGCATTATGCACTATAGATCATTAAGTTTCTGAGCGTGCTTCTAACTTCACGCGCTGTTACAGCGCTTCTCAAATCAAACGTGTGAAATCGTACAATTTGCCATCGTAACGAAGTCGGTTTTGGTGTACGTCAATCAATGCGTTTCCATGACATTCCATAGGCACGTGCCCTTAAAAGCTTTGTGTTTGTCTCGAATTTTTTTTCACGATTTCACGCTTGTGATTGAGAAGCGCTGTAATAGGCCTTAACAGTTCCACGGATGTCAATGATGTCTCGAGTCCTTGCTACAGTTAATGTTTACAATACAAAATTTTCTTTAGGCTTAAGAAAAACGCCTACGTATTCTCTAGAACGGCCACTGAAGAGTATTGCAATCATAAAAGTAGTCGCAATATATTTGAAGCGTAAACAGTCATTCCCCTAGTGCTGAATTGAGCCCCCTTGCGAAGGTGACGACTTAAAAACAAAGCACTTCTATCTTTAATTATCGCGCTGCTGCACAGGGTATTAATGGTGTGGCACGACAAGGTTCAACAACGCAGCTCTTGACCAAGGGGCTCTATTAAATCCGGCGTCGTCTAACTAAGGACTGCAAGTGGTCTGCAAAATTGTTGAGACGGTTAACAAAGTGGTGATTAGACTTAAGGACGACTGTTGTACTTGATAATTATAGTACTCAACGGCTTAGACTTATCTAAGTCGTCCTTTCTTAGATTTACAGAGAGAAAGAATTAGAAATATATCCGAACAAAAAAAAGATTGCCCGCGCGCATAGCTCGCGCGCCATAATGAGCTAGCAAATTCGAGAAAGGACGGAATACGATTATGATTGGGCTACCTGTGCTCTTTTCAGCGCGAGTGAACTGATACGAGGACGAAGGATTTTTCGAAAGTAAATCAACGGCTGTGCTAGTAGAAGGAATTCAAAGGCGCGAAGAGCTATTAGACTAAGAGACAACGTACCGATTGTACTAACGGTTCAAAAGGGGACTACTACTAAAGGCATGTCACGTTTGTTTAGACGAACTCTAAGAACACTTATCTCTCTCACAGGGAGTGTCAGTGTTACGTAGGTGTGTTAAGTGATGAGACTAAAAGTCTACAGTTTAAGAGCGGCCCCTTTGCACCCCTTCACGTTAGGCACGCCGTTATTTTATTCAGTAACTTAACACAGACTAAGAAAAGGCTCAAACTTGAAGTCCAACAAGCTTGGTCTGAGATATTACGAATACGAATAAGATTTCACATTTCACTAACGATACGTCAACAAAATTTAACTAAGATAAATACATACCGCACCTATTTCAAAAAACGTTGTCATCGCCAAAGGCGATAGGCGATACTAGGTCATTCCGACATGGAAATGGTTTCGTCGAATACAAAGAACATTCAATCAATTTCGACACTAAGGTCCATGTTCTTGACGAGAATAAGAAGCAGAAACACAAGTCCTTCCAGAGTGATTCGTGGATCTTGGATAGACCTATTTCCTATCGCTTTTCGCCTGTTGCCTATTGCGCGCCTTTAGCGTTGACAACGTTTTTTGAATTAAGTGCATACATATGTATTGTAAATAATGGTATAAATAAATTTTGCGTTCTCTTGAGGTATTCAAAACCCATTCAGTTTTTATTTCAAACTTGCGGCATTTGTCGACAATGATAAAGTTTTTCTAGGTAAGACGTATGAAATCGTCTGCATGCAAAAGGTTAATTTTTGCCAACTGAGTTTCTATAAAGTGGGTTCTACGGAACTTATACGCAATCTGAGATTGATTTTATTGGAAAATTCTACCGAGAGATTTTAACCCTTTGTAGTTCATCCATGTTTGCGTGATGAGCTAAAATTTTTACTAAGAAACTTACGGCCGATTTTTTTGAAAATATATGGGC